GCTCTATCTTTCCCTGAAGCCAGATGACACACTAATCAGTTAAACCGCACGAAACTGCAAGTTTTATTAAAGACATAAAGACCTGGACCTCCAATTTCCTGCTCCTAAATTCAGATATATCTTAGATCTTAGAAATATGGTATCTAAGCAGATACTTAACTCTGGATGGCGTTACTTTAGCCTCCAGTAACACTGTGAGGAATCTTGGACCCGTTTTTGACTAGGATATGCATTTCAATGTGCATATCAAACAAATATGTAGGACTGAATTAAACTGAACTGCGTCTCAGTCACTCACCGTGCTCCTCAATGTAGTCGACAATATCTTTTACTAGTGCAGGAACCTCATGGCCGCTGATTGTGTGTGTGTGTGTCACATCCTCCAGAGGAACACCAAAAACCCGTGTGGTGCTGGCTGAGCTCCCGCCCTCATTGCCTGGCAACGGAGACACGCTCTTCCTCATGGCCTGCTCCTCCTCCTCCTCACCACAACCCCGCCAAGACCTCACGTCTTATAAAGGAAGAAATGGATGAGTTTAGACATAATGTGAGAGAAAGACAGAATGCAGCCTGGCTTAAAAAAATAAAAAATAAAAATCTTCGTCCTTGATCATGCCGGCTTATAGATACCAAGAATATTAATTAAAGGCGCCAGTAAACAGTCATGCAGCACATACAGGACTGTCTGGCTTTACTAACTGTTAAGTGCCAGTGAGTGGGAGGGGGCAGGGCCACAGCTACAGCGTAGTGACCTGCAAAGGGATTTTGTAAAAAGAGGGTAGGTGGGGGAGTAGGACATCTTATGTCAGTTTTGTTTACAGTCTTCCAAAGACTGCATAATCAATTTACCAATAAATTTTATCCTATAACAAATGTTGCATGACAAATTGCTTTGTTTGCTTCCTGCAGTCTTATATTATGTGTTCTGTCGTCCTCTGTAGCTTCTTTAGAGGTGATCACATTCAGGATGGGATGAAAATCAATGCAAAATAAGCAAATGAAAAGTCTGATATTGACGTTGGTTGTTTGGTGAGTAATCTAAATGCAAACAACGACAGATGGTGTCCAGTCCACTCATCACTGGGGGAGGAACATCAGTTTATCAGAAATGTATTCTCAATTTGTTCCAGTGAAACTAATCTCACAGTATTATGTAACTAATGATAGCGGTCTTTTAAATGTAAGCAAGTAATCTGGCCTTATTTACAATAGTGACATACAATGCAATATAAATATAAATGACATACAATATGAGTTAGGGCTGTTCGATATAA